AGAAAAAAATTGAATATTATTATTTATGTATAGATATGGTGTTGAATGTCTATTTCGATTTTATACATATGATCTAGAAAAACATTTTCGTCAACATGTATTTGAAGATTTTCAACAAGACACTCTTTGTGATCATGAAGCTGGTAATAAAATAGATTATACAAAAAAAAAAACGAAAAGTGTCAATAACAAAAATAATTTTTCGATTTAGGTCAATTATATGGTTTAGAAAAATTCTTGGCATTTTTAAAATATTCTCGACAAAAACCAAAAATCAATTCAAAACTTGAAGAAATTTTAAAAAACTATAAAAATCTTGAAGATTTTCGTGTTGATGGTGCATCATTTCCACAACAATTTTTTCCAACAAAATCAAATTATCGTAATTGAAAAACTTTTTTTTTTCCTATGATATAAATAATTTCTTTCTAAACTGTTCCAGCATTCGAAGCAATTGCTGCTGCAGTAGCAAAGAACAGTGATACATCAAATTCATTAAAACCCAATGGTGAACAATATCTGAACGGTGCTCATATTTTTTCAAGTGAATTTCGATTTATTTAAAAGTATGCATGTATTTTTTTTTTGCTTTCAAAGTTTATTGTTATTTAATCATTTTCTATGTATATATTACATTGGTTTGTTATTGTAGTACATAGATAGATTAAATAGTGATGTATTTTCTTTTTCTATCGATTGAGATATGAAGAATTTTCATATGGTTTCGTGTTTTTTTTTGAAACTATTTGCTAATAAAAACAAAACAACTAAACAAATTTAATTTGATTATAATTATGCATGTTTTTCTTTGAGAAGAAAAAAAAGACAATGGCTTCATCTCGTTTATTTAATAATATTTTATTTCGATAGAAGAATTTAGCGTTTTAGGAAGAATTGGTATTGGTTTAGCTATTGTTGGTGGTGTGATTAATTGTATGCTTTATAATAGTTAATATGAAAAGATTAAAAAAAACTTGTTTTCTTTAAATATAAATATATTCTAGTTGATGGTGGTCATCGAAATATTATTTTTGATCGTTTTCAAGGTGTTAAACTAGATGTTATTGAAGAAGGAACTCATTTTATGATTTCATGGCTTCATAGACCAATTATATTTGACATTCGTACATGACCACGATCTGTTCCATCAATAACAGAAATAAAAGGTATAAAAGCTAGAAGAAAACAGTCAACTTCAGGAGAGAGGTGAACATGAGGAAAATGTAAGCTCGCGAAAAAAAGAAGGTAAATACGATGTCTATTAAAACATCAATGAATGTATATGGCTGAGGTATCTTAAAAAATTTTGTGGCCATCGATGGCGACCCAACTGATCGGTTTACACCTCTACACTCTCATCATTCAACAATCTTAGGATACTTCATAAAACTTAAAACCGGAAGTCTCCGTTATTTTTTCTTCGTATACATGAAATATGCATAAATTACATTTTATTATTTTTATTTTAGATTTACAAACAATTAATATAACATTACGTATTCTTTATCAACCAAGAGCTGAACTTTCACCAAAAATTTTTTTGCAAATTTGGGTTTAGATTATGAAGAACGTGTTTTACCATCGATTATTAATGAAGTTTTAAAATCTGTTGTACTAAGTCTCAATTTGATGCTATTGAATTGATTACACAACGTACACTTATTTCTCAACGTATTAGTGAATTATTAATAGAACGTGCTGCTCAATTTGGTTTATTACTTGATGATATTTCAACTGTAAGATACAACAAAAAAAGAGTCTCGAGTTGATTATATTGTTTTTTTTCTTTAAATTAGACACATTTAAGTTTTAGATCTGAATTTACAAGTGCTGTTGAATTAAAACAAGTTGCACAACAAGATGTTGAAAAACAACGATTTTTAGTCGAAAAAGTAAATCAATAAGAATAAAACTTATATGAGTTTGTTTTTTTTTATCAAGAAAAACAGACTGAACAAAGTCGTCAAGCAAATGCTATTGCAGCAGAAGGTGATGTTCGTGCAGCTGATTTGATTGGCAAAGCTTTAGATGAAGTTGGTGATGGTAAATTTTCGAATATCTTTTATTATCCTGTCTTACTTTGTTTTAATATTCATGTTAGGTTTGATCGAACTTCGACGAATTGAAGCCGCTGAAGGTATTACAAATCAATTATCAAAATCAAGAAATATCGTCTATTTACCACATGGTTCTCAAATGTTACTTAACATTACTGGTGCTACGCAATAACAAATTGTTTTTTGTTTTCATAGTAAACTAATGAGATTGATTTAGGAAAATAAAAAGAACACATAAGAGGTTTTTTTTGTATGTGTGTGTGTTTATAAACTATTGAGAATACTAAAACATTGTATGGTCCTGTTTTTTGTTCGATTAAAGAAAAAGAAGATCAGATCAACAATTCTCTAGATGATATTAAAGATTCGAGTATGATTGAAATGATGAATTTCGATAATCTCTTTCGATGTTTTATATTAACTCAAGCATTTGTACGTGGTTGGAGAAATCCATTTCATTTACAAGAAATTTTTACCTATCGACGTGAAAAAATTGGTGTAAGAGATGAGTGTTTAGAACTTGTACCGGCTGAAAATGTACAGGAAAATACTGTCGAAATAATTAATTAAACAAGAAACAAAAAGGTAATCAAAATTATATA